AAAAGTTTAGTTCAGCTTGAATCATTTGATCAGTTATTCTGGTTTGTTTTGACTTCTTTCAGTGGAAATCAGAGCTGATTCTGGTTTATTTTGAACTCAGATTTATCTTGGGTTCCTTTAGTGGAAAATTCAGAGCTGATTATGTTTTTTTAAGCTCATTTAGTGTAAATAAGAGCTGATTCTGGTTTATTTTGAGTTCTTTTAGTGGGAATCAGAGTTATTCTGGTTGATTTTTAGCTCATTTAGTGGAAATGAGAGTTATTCTGGTTTATTTTGGGTTGGGACAATGGCAGAAATAAAAGTTTAGTCCAGATTGAACCATTTAATGAGGAGTTATTCTGATTTATTTTGAGTTCTTTAGCAATTCATCTGATACCCTGATTAGTCAATTTTTTATGGAAATGTTTAAAGTTTGAATTATTTCAGTGTAAAATGAGCTCAACGAGACACTGTATCTTTATTTTAAACTCTGAATTTCCCTGTAAGCTAAACCTTCCTTTCTTTCTGTTGATTTAAACTGAGGTTCTTGAGGGTGGCGTTGTGGGCGGGGCTGGCGGGGGGGTTGTGGGCGGGGCCCGTACCGACGCGGGGGTAGCAGGTGTTGTGGACGCCCTGCCGGCTGCGGCACTGCGGCTCCAGGCAGCTGCGCTTGTAGCCGGCGTCCTCGGGCCGCGTGCGGGCGCCGCAGGTGGGGCAGAAGCGGTAGCGGTCGTGCCACGCCAGCACCGAGCGCGCCTGGGCCACCACGCCTAGGGTCAGGGGTCAGAGGTCAGAGGTTAGATCAGCAGAAGAGAAGCAGCTCTAGACCACAGGATGATACTAAGAGCTTCAAGTAAAGATAGTAAAAATAAGTTCAAACAAATAAAATACTAAAACAAATAATACAATTAAAATAAAATAAAAAATAATAGATTAAAAATGATAATAAATTAATAAAATTAGATAATAATAATAAAATGAAGAAAAATGAAGAATCCCTCTAAAAACAGGTGTCATTTTACACTGAATGGACGAAAAGATGTCAGTTTTTCCAGAAAAACTTAAAATAAGTCAATTTTATCTCAAGAAGATGAAATAATCCCACAAATTAATTTGGGAATCAGATAAATCACTAAATTAAATAGTAATAATAATAATAGAATGAAGAAAAATGAAGAATCCCTCTGAAAACAGGTGTTGATTTTACACCCAAAAAAAGAAAATACATCAATTTTATCTCAAGAAGATAAAATAATCCCACAAATTATTTGGGGAATCAGATAAATTGCTGAAAGTACTCAAAATAAATCAGACTATCTCAAATGTAAGCTTTCTCTGTCTGCTTTTCTTCTTCTCACCGGCCTCCTCCTCGCTCAGCCTCAGCAGGTCCCGGTTGGGCGTGGTCAGGAAGCTGCATTCCTGCTGGCCGCCGCCGCGCTTCAGCAGCTCGCCGGCGTCCTCGCTGGAGTCCAGGGCGAACCAGGCCCGAGGCTCCGCCCCCCCGGCCGCCGCCCTCTCCACGCCCAGGAAGACCAGCACGCTCTCAGGCTGCTGCAGCAGGTCTCTGACCGCCTGGTAGGACAGGCGGCGCAGCCGGCAGGGGCCCTGCAGAGGGAAGATAACCGGGATTAGAGTCACTTTCTCTAGTTAAAGCAGGTTTAATTTGGATTAAAGTTGCATTTTATTCAGTAAAATCAAGATAAATGTGGATAAAAGTCGCCTTTTCTTTAGTTAAATAAGGTTTCATTTGGATGAAAGTCCATTTTCTTTCGTTAAATCGGGTTTAATTTGGATTAAAGTCGCTTTCTTTAGTTAAACCAGGTTTAATTTGGATTAAAGTTGCATTTTATTCAGTAAAATCAAGATGAATATGATAAAAGTCGCCTTTTCTTTTGTTAAACCAGGTTTAAATTGGATTAAAGTCGCTTTCTTTAGTTAAACCAGGTTTAATTTAGATTAAAGTCCAATTTCATTCAGTAAAATCAAGATTAATGTGGATAAGTCGCCTTTTCTTTAGTTAAATAAGGTTTCATTTGGATTAAAGTAGCTTTTTCTTTAGTAAAATCAGGTTTAACTTGGATTAAAGTCCCCTTTTTCTTTAGTGAAATAAGGTTTCATTTGGAATAAAGTCGCATTTTATTCAGTAAAATCAAGATTAATGTGGATAAAAGTCGCCTTTCCTTTAGTTGAATTAGGTTTAATTTGGTTTAAAGTCGCTTTTTATTTGTAAAATCACGTTTAACTTGGATTAAAGTTGTCTTTAGTGAAATAAGGTTTAATTTGGATTAAAGTTGTCTTTAGTGAAATAAGGTTTAATTTGGATTAAAGTAAATTTTATTCAGTAAAATCAAGATTAATGTGTGTAAGTCTTCTTTTTTTTAGTTAAACAAGGTTTAGTTTGGATTAAAGTAGCTTTTTCTTTAGTAAAATCAGGTTTAACTTGGATGAAATATGCCTTTTCTTCAGTTAAATCAGGTTTAATTCGGATGAATTAATATACATTTGCTAACCTTTGACCCGCCCTCCCTCTGGCCGCCCCTTACCTTTGCCCCGGCGCTGACCTTTGCCCCGGTGCTGACCATGGGGCTCAGCCTGGAGAACAGCAGGTAGACGGAGTCCAGCCGGCTCTGCGTGGCGTCCATCCAGACCGCGTCGGCCCGCCGGCTGCTCAGCCGGTCCAGCGGCTCCCGGCTGAAGAAGTTCTCCTGCGCGCCGCCCCCCCCGGCGAGCCCCCCCCCGGAGAGCCCCCCCCCGCCGCCGGAGCGGGCCAGCAGGGCGGCGATGTGGCCGTGGCCCCAGAACTTGGCCACGTCGTAGGCGGTCTGAGCCGAGCCGTTCACACAGAGCCGGTCACAGCTGGAGGGGAAGGCACCGGCGGCCATTATTATCCACCATGACCACATCGGTATTACTCACATACAACAATTAGAACTATCTATAATAATAAATATTTGGGAAAATATTCTTTATATGTATATTTAACAGTATATTAAAAAAAGTATTCATTAATATTAGAATTTTTATGAATATTTCATTATAACTAATTCATATTATATTAATTGCTGTCCACTTC